GAGCAGGCTGGTGTCACCGAAGAAGCGGATCGAAAAACGAGCCGAAAGCATACCGCACTGACGAAGAGTGCGTAAAACCTCATTAATTAAATCTCGACAAGTTTCTCCGCCTTTTCTGGCCTCAGAGTACATCACTGCAGTTGGTCAGACCACTGACAAACTTGTCCTGAAATTGCCTTGCGAAATCCTCGATGAAGGGGAAAAAGCTCAGTATAAGCCTGCGGCCGCCCTTTGAAAAGCACATCTTAACACTCGCGATTGTGATAACTGCCAATCTTGACAGAGAGATACAGATCTGATGCCACTTCTGTTCGAGTTTCTCCTGAGCACCACAGCACAGCTAGTCCTTCCTTTTCATTACAGCAGAACATGCTGCAGTGCATGCACTAGAGCAAGCTGAGGAGCCGGCAGAATGGCTCGCGGGAATAGTAACCAGCTCAGCTTTGACAATCCAGATTTTGCTTGCGGGTAATTCGACTGTGACGATGATGCTGCGCTTTGACTTAATGCACTTTCTAGTGCATGAATTTCATTGGTGTGCTAATAAACAAACCAGGCTGGAACGCATTAGGTTTGTTGGTGCGATTATGCGTTTTTGCACTAAACTCGCAGAAGGCTAACAGCAGGAATTATCTCTGCACTGCAGCCTAACACTTGAGCTCATATTGGCCGAGCTTTGGCCCTTTCCGGCATGCAGGAGGAAGGACGTCAGTTGAGATGGAGATGGTGCATTATAGAGCCGCACGGACCTCCAGATACATGATTACCAGTTTTTAGCATGAAGCGCGGTCGTTTTTTCGGTAAGTGCTAGCTTTGTGAAGAATGAAAAATGCAAATTTTTTGAAAAAATGCAAATTTCTAGTTCGCTAAAAAGTAGAAGTATTGCTCGAGCGGTCTTTTGTCAAAAAATTCATGTATGCAAATTAACTAATGTTCATTTACATATTTGGGTGAGGGCGGTCGTTCGCTGCAAAATACACTCGTTTCTGATTTTTCGATAAAGTTAAGTATTCCTCACTCCTACCTGCAGGGAATTCTACCTTCAAGCTGAATTAAGACTGTACTTGAGAGGAGAATATTCCGGCGAATTTTCAGCCTCGCAGCTTGTCCGGTAAGCGGAATATCCACTTCGCCACAAATATTTTTGAAGTGCTCTAAGTCGTGTCACAAGAGAAATTCGGTGCTCATTTCAGGTACCCTGTTTCCTATGTGGGCGGCTAACATGCAGACAAAATTTCAGCCGCTGTTCTCCGGCAAGTTTTCGAGTTAGCATACCACGAAGTCGCAAGCTTTGACTTGGTCGTACGCACTGCACAAGCATGCGCGGCAGCTGGGTTTGAAATCTTTAGCTCGCACGTGCATAGAGAATATCCCTGCAGAGGTTCAGCTTTCTACCTTGCCTGGTTTGCGAAATCTTTCCCCTGCCAGAGAAATTTGCTTAT